CTACATAAACAAAAGTAAAAACAAAGAACATATGATTCTCTTAATTGATGCAGAGAAAGATTTTGACAAAATTCAGCATCTTTTTTTGATAAGCACACTCAAGAATATAGGCATAGATAGGACCATTTCTCAAACTGATAGATGCCATCTATGACAAACTCACAGCCACCCATATTGAACAGAGAAAAGTTGAAGGTATTCCTGCTTAAACTGGAACCAGACAGGGATGCCCACTATTACCACTACATAGTACTGGACGTTTTAGCCAATGCAATCAAATAAGAGAACAATATTAAGGGTATCCAAATGCAAGCAAAGGAGGTCAAACTATCACTCTTTGCAGATGATATGATCCTATACTTAGAAACCCCTGAGGACTTAACCATGAGATTCCTCGAAATGATCAAGAAATATAGCAATGACTTAGCTCCTGTAGCACAGTGCTTATGGCGCTGGCCACGTGCACTGAGGCTGGCGGGTTTGAACCCAGCCTGGGCCAGCTAAAGAACAAATGACAACTGCAACAACAACAACAAAAAAAAAATTGCCAGGTGTGCCAGGTGCCTGTAGTCCCAGCAAACATGGTAGGCTGATGCAAGAGAATCACATAAGCCCAAGAGTTTGAGGTTGCTGTGAGCTGTGACGTCATAGCACTCTACTGAGGGTGACACGGTAAGACTCTACCTCAAAAAAAAAGAAAAGAAATATAGCAATGTTTCAGGTTATAAAATCAATGTACATGTATCAGTACCCTTCATATATCCCAACAGTCAAGCTGAGAATCAAATCAAAGATATAAAACCCTTCACAGTGGCATCGAACAAAAGGAAATACCTAAGAATATATCTAACAAAGAATGTGAAGTATCTCTATAGAAAGAACTATAAATCACTGAGAAAAGAAATTGCAGAGGATGTTAACAGATGGAAGTACATATCATGCTCATGGCTTGGAAGAATAATTTTGTTCAAATGTCTATACTACCCAAAGCAATCTACAGATTTACTGCAATCTCCATTAAAATACTATTGTCTTACTTTGATAAACTTTTAAACATAATTCTACATTTTGTATGGAATCTCCATCAAAAATAACTCAATCAGTCAATCAAATTCTTTTTTTTTTTTTTTTTTTGAGACAGAGCGTCACTATGTTGCCCTGGGTAGAGTGCAGTAGCTTCACAGCTCACAGCAACCTCAAGTGATTCTCTTGCCTCAGCCTCCCAAGCAGCTGGGACTACAGGCACCCGCCACTATGCCTGGCTGTTTTTTTGTTGTAATTGTCATTGTTGTTTGGCAAGCCCGGGCCGGGTTCAAACCTGTCAGCTCCAGTGTATGTGGCTAGCACACTAGCCGCTGAGCATAGGCGCTGAGCCAAGCCATTGCAATTCTATAAAATAAGAATAAATTGGGAGTCATCCCTTTGTTAGACCTGAGGTTATACTATAAGTCTATAGTGATCAGAACAGCATGTTATGGGCATAAAAATAGAGACACAGATCTCTGAGACAGAATAGAGAATCCAGAGATGAAACCAGTCTCATATAGCATCTAATCTTTGACAAAACAAACAAAAGCATTCACTGAGGAAAAGAATCCATATTTAATAAATGGTGCTCAGAGAACTGGTTAGCCACATGTAAGAGAATAAAACTGGACCCACACCTCTCACCAATTACAAAAATTAACTCACAATGGATAAAAGATCTAAATCTAAGATATGAAACAATAAAAACCCTAGAAGATAGTATGGGTAAAACTCTTAATCTTATCAGCCTAGGGAAAGAATTTATGAAGAAGACCCCATTAGTAACTGCAGCAACAAAAATAAATAAATGGGACCTGATCGAGTAGTTAAAAAGTTTTTATACAGCTAAGAATACAATCTACAAACCAAAAAGGACAACCTTCAGTATGGAAGAAAATATATGCATGCTACGAATCCAACAAAGGGCTAATCGCCATAATCTATAATGAACTCAAGCATATTGACAAGAAAAGAGCAAATAACCCCATTAACAACTGGGCAAGAGACATGAATAGAAACTTTTCACATGAGGACAGAAGGATGGCCAATAAACATATGAAAAAATGCTCACTGTGCCTAATTATCAGAGAATTACAAACCAAAGCTACTTTGAGATATCACCTAACCCCAGTGAGAATGGCCCACATTATTAGGTCCCAAAGCAACAGCTGCAGTGTGGGTATGAAGTGAAAAGAACACTCATGCACTGTTTATGGGACTGCAAACTTGTACAGCCTCTATGGAAATAAGTATAGAGATTCCTCAAAGAACTAAAAGTACACTTACCATTTGACTTTGCAAGTCTACTACTTGACATTTACACAAATGAAAAAAGGACATTTTACCACAGGGACATTTGCAATAGAATGTTCATAGCCATTGAGTTCACAATTTGAAAAGATGTGGAAACAACCTAAGTGCACAGCAACACATGAATGGATTTACAAATTGTGGTACATGCACACCATGGAATATTATTCACCCCGAAAAAATCATGGAAATTTTGTATCCTTTCTAACAACCTGGGTGGATATGGAGACTATTTTCCTAAGTAAGGTAGCCTAAGATTGGAAAAACAAGCATCACATGTATTCAATACCAATTTGAAACTAGGTGATTAACAATTTCAGACCCAGGCCAGGCCCAGTGGCTCACGCCTGTAATCCCAGCACTCTGGGAGGCTGAGATGGGTGGATTGCCTGAGCTCACGGGTTTGAGACCAGTCTGAGCAAGAGCGAGACCCCTTCTCTAAAAATACCTGGATGTTGTGGCAGGTGCCTATAATCCCAGCTACTTGGGAGGCTGAGGCAAAAGAATCACTTGAGCCCAAGAGTTTGAGGTTGCTGTCTGCTATCACCCGTGGCACTGTACCAAGGGTGACAAAGTGAGACTCTGTCTCAAAAAAAAGGAATCGCAGACCCATAGGGAGAAATCTCAATTAAACTCAATAAGGGGGGAAGAGAGGAAGGGGTTAGTAGCTTCACCCAATGGGTACTATGCACAGATACATGGCACACTCCCTGGGTGTAGGATATAAATCTAATTTTTACCCATCATGTGTAAATCATATACCTAAGGGTTTGTACCCACATATTATCCTGAAATAAAGAATGAGAGAAAGTTTATTGCTAATTGGTTATTCTAATAAGTCAGAATAAAAATGAGTTAATACACATAAAACGTTTTCTTATCTTGGAGGTTGATCTGATCATCCACATTCCAAACCAGCAGGAATTCTGTCCCCTTTGTCACTACTTTGAACTTTTCTACATGTAATCACTGGCTGACCTTATCTACAAGTGACATCTTGCTGCTTTTATAATAAATCATAAGAGAAAAAATAAAATAATAACATAAAATGCTTCCCCTCATACTTAGAAAAATTTCCAAATGATTTATGCCCTGGCTTATACAAGTCTGCCTCCTTCTGTAACACCATCTGTATTGCTCTGCCTTTTGCTCACTACTGTATAGGCACACTGGCCCTTCTGTTTCTCAGGAACAGAGGAACTAGCTGTTCCTCTGCTTCTCCCTGATCCTCACATAGCTGACTCCCTGTCTATCAGATCTCAGCTTAAGTCTCACCTCCTCAAAGAGGCCTTCCTTTACTGAATCCAGTGTAG